ACAGCTTGAGGGCAACTCAGGGGAGGCCCTGAGCCTGAACCACCCAGCTCAGCTGCACCCAGACTCATGACCTGCAGGAGTGTGTGAACTAACTGGTTTTAGCTGCTAGGATTGGGGGTCATTTGTTACACAGCAGTAGAGAACTAATACACTATCACGTCCCATGTCTCTCCTCAGTTCCAGCTCTGACAGAGTCACACAGTCATCCTGCAAATGCCTAAACCTGTCTGGGGCTGTCTGGCTCTGCTCAGATAATGACAGTGTCCTGTCGTCCACAGAGGCACAGGGCTGGGCTTGTCAAACCAGCCTGACACGTTTTTTGTAAAAGAGCACGATCAGGTTCATTCCCATTGGAAAAGTTTGATCTGGCTCCAGAAAGGGGCATCTTATGTGAAGTTAAGGGGGCTTAGAGAGCAGAGGCGCTTTGTAGAGAGAATTAACTCTACTGAGGGGACATCATCTCCTGACAGCTCCTTGAAGCTCCACCTGCCTGAGGGGACCACAGTGGTGGCTTTTTGTGTTCCTAATTCCCCGGGACAGGGAAGGAGTAGCGAGGGAGTGGCCCTGGGTCCCACCCGCTCCCCTCATTCTGTATCAGAGAATCTCTGTGACCACGGTACCTTCCTTTAAGCTTCCTTAGCAGACCTTGGATTTCTCAAAGTCAGAGAGAAGAACAGTCACTCTTTCTAGAAGGGATCCAAGGCTGAGCAGGTCACACTGGCTCCGTACTCGGCAGGGAGAACCTGGTGGACTTGGTGGGGTGGAGAGGCAGGAAGGGAGGAGGCGACAGGGGACACGGGCTCCTCCAAGTCTATCATGTCTACCTAACCACACCAGTGATGTGAACACAAGGATCAGCACCCCAGTTACACAGATCCACAGATCCACACAGCTGTCCGGGTGCCCCCGAAAACTGCAGGATAAGGTAGGCTTCAGATAGCTGGGCTGCCTCATTGCAAACTCTCTCTTGCTCTCATTTAAAAAAATAACTCCTATGCACACACTGTACATATTAACGGGGTGCAGTGTAAAATTTCCATACATGCATCCAACATGCACTAATCAAATCCAACCTCCCTTTTTCCACACTACCCCCTCTCCAGTCCATACGAATCACTATTCTACTTTCAGGAATACTTTCTTAGTTTCCACACACGAGAGAAACATCTGATATTTGTCTTTCTGTGTCTTCCTGCTCACTTCCCTTCACATAATGTCCTCCGATTCCATCCATTTTGCTGCAAGTGATGGAGTTTCATTGTTTCCTGCTGAATAATCACCCTGCGTGTGTATGCGCCCCACTTTCCGGTCTGGGCTTCTGCTGAGGAGCACCTAGGCCAACTCCACACCCCGGCTGTTGTGAACAGTGCTGCAGTAAACACCGGCTCCGAGGTCACTCTTTGACAGGCTGATTTCATTCCCACTACCCAGGAGTCGGCTCGCTGGATTCACGGTACAGCTGTTCCTAGGGAACAGTATGGGACCCCATCCTCTTCTCTGTCATGGCTGTGCAAGTTTCCATTCCTGCCAACAATGTGTGGGTTCCTTTTGCTCCACACTGTCACCAGCATTTCTTCTTTTTAATAATAGTCATTCTAACTGGGGTGAGGTAGAGTCTCATTGTAGTTCCAGCTTGCATTTCCCTGATGGCTAATGATTTGGGGTGTTTGCATGTATTTTGGGCCTTTTATAGTATTTCTTTTGAAAGGTGTATATTCAGATCATTTGCCCATTTTCAGTTGACTTACTTGATTTTTACATTTTTTTAGTTCTTTTTATATTCTAAATATTAATTCCTTGTCAGTTGAAGAGCTGGCACAGTTTTTTTCCTCTTCTGTACATTATCTCTTTATTCTTTCATTTTCTTTGCCATGCAGAAGCCTTTTAGTTTGATGTTATCCCGTTTGTCCAATGTTGCTTTCTATTCCTGTGCTTTTGGGGTCTTATCCAGAAAATCATTGACTACCAGTCTCTTGTAGTGTTTCTATTTTCTTCTAGCAGTTCATAGTTTTAAATCCTACACGTAGGTCTTTAGTCCATTTTTAATTTTTTTTCTACAAGATGAGAGTAGGGGTCAAGTTTCAATTCTCTGCGTGGAAATTTCCAGTTTCCCTAGCAGTTTCCCATTTGTTGCAGAGGCTGGAGGCTGTCTTTTGTCCAGTGTGTACTTTTTGATTTTGATTTTGATTTTGTGTGCATGTGTGTGTGTGTGTGTGTGTGTGGTTGTAACTAGGGCCTTCACAGTGAGCTATATCCCAGCCTTTTCATTACTTTATTTTATACTTTAAGAAAGAGCCTCACAAAGCTGCTAAGCTGCCAAGGCTGAGCTCCAACTTGCAGCCCTCCTGCCTCACTCCCTGGAGTGCTGTATTATAGTACTGCACCACCATCCTGGGCTTCTCCAATGTATGCTCTCAATGTTTTGTGCATAATCAGTTCACTACAGATGTGTGGGTTTATTTCTAGAATCTCGATACCGTGCTCTGTAGTTTGTCTTAAAGTCAGGTATTGTGATACCATTGTCTTTGTTCTTTTTGTTCAAGATTGCTTTGACTACTCGGAGGTCTTTGGGTTGCCATATGATTTTTTTTTTTTTTTTTGGTACCGGGGATTGAACTTGGATCCTTGTGCTTTCTCTTAAAGTCAGGTATTGTGATACCATTGTCTTTGTTCTTTTTGTTCAAGATTGCTTTGACTACTCGGAGGTCTTTGGGTTGCCATATGATTTTTTTTTTTTTTTTTTTGTACCAGGGATTGAACTTGGATCCTTGTGCTTATGCAGCAGGCAGTGAAACCACTGAGCTAAATTCCCGGCAGCCATATGGATTTTAAGATTGTTTTCTAGTCCTATGAAGAATGTCATTGGTATTTTGTTGGGGATTGCATTGAATCTATAGATAGCATTGGTGGTATGGACATTTTAACACTATTCTTCCAATCCATGAACATGGGAGGTCTTTCCATAATTTTTGTATGTGTCATCTTCCTTCATCAGTGTTCTATAATTTTCATTGTTTGCTCTCATGGTTTAACAGTCAAATCCAAGTTTAGATGGGGCTTTTCATCTGTTCCACCCTCAGTAGAGCCAGGAAAGGCTTCAGGCAAACTCTGCCTTCTTTGTTCAACCTCAGGAAGGAACCATATACCAATTCAAGAGTGACAGTAAATCAGGTTCCCTTCAGCTTCTGGGTAAGCCTGTTGGGATTACATTAGCTTTCCCAACCCGTCTCCCTCCCAGGAGAAAGCAACCTCCAAAATTCCAGTCCCTCACAAAGAATGCCCAGCATCATGGCCTAGCCTTTAACAGATGCAGGCTTCCTTTCCAATGAGTCAGTCTACAAACTCCCAAAACTCTATGGGCAAAGGGAGTGGGACAAGTGGAAGAAACACTGTAGTTTCCCAAAACAAGAAGCAAGTTCGACTCCAGATATGGATGAAATTATCAGGCCTGTGCTTAGGGGGCCAGGCCATGGCTTCACTCACTGGACATGAAAAAGGTAGTGCTTGGGTGGGTCACTGGGGCTTTGCATCACTGTGACAAAATATCTGAGGTAAACAACTTAAAAAGGGGAAAGGTTTCTTTTGGCTCATGGCTTCAGACATTTCAGTCCATGGTCACTTGATCCTTTCACTTCGGGCCTGTGATGAGGCAGAACATTACACCAGAAGTATAGCAGAAAGAGCTGCCTAGCTCCTGTCAGTCAGGAAGCAGAGAGAGGGAGGGGCTGGGTTCTCAATATCCTCTTCAAGGCCACACCCTCAGTGACCTCATTTGCTTTCACCAGGCCCCTCCTTCTAAAGGTTCCCACAGCTCACACAGTAGCAGCCAAGCTTTCACCACACGGCCTTTAGGGGTCATGGTCACTTATGGTTTGAGCCATAGCAACATCCTTTGGGAAGATTATTCGTCATCTGATTTTTAAATATCATTTATTCATTTATTTCAGGTGGGCAATGGATTTGTTTTTCAACAAGAAAATACTGAGACCTTGGGTGAACTACTTTCATTCTTTGTACTTCAATTTCCTCTTCTGTGAGAATTAAATAAGTTATTATATATATACATATATTATATTTATATATAATATGTATATATATGGGTTATGTTTGTGTTGGAAAACCCCCTAATACAATATAGGGACTTACTCTCATGTAAGTCTCCAGGGCACTGGGGACCTTGGCTCTCCATCTTGCTTTGGTGTTGATGTTTATGATCATCGTCCTATGGCCCAACCATCATTTTGTCCAGACAGGAGGAAGAGGATGACAGACCTTCAAAAGAGACTTTCTAGCCGTCATGCATGCCTCTTCTGCTGATATCCCAAAGGCCAAAACTCAAGGAATATGGACCACATGAGAGCATGGTCTCTACTGTAGCTGGACCTGTGCCTGCTAATACGAGGGGGTCCTGCTGAGTGAGCAAGAAAAGGAGAACAGGGGCCTGGGGGTGGCTCAGTGGCCGACTGCTTGCCTAGCAGGCACAAGGTCCTGAGTTTGAGCCTCAGCACAGAGGGAAAAGAAAGATGGATATAAGGAGGAGGTGGCAGTCTTTGTCGCAATGTATAAAGCTTGTTGACTAGTGGAACAGTGCCTGGCGCATAATAAATGCTTATTAAAATGGTGTGGTTATAAGCTCACTCCTCTGGCCTCAGTACCAACGCTAGGACCTTTCTACCTGAACACATCTTCAGTTTCACAGCAGCACATGTCCATGCCAAGGGTGTGGGGGGCTCACAGCTCTAGGCTGTGTGCTTTGGGGGCATCCCAAGTGGACATGGTGGGGTGGCTCTAAAGGCAGGGCAGGGATTTTGCTCAGCTTCTCTAGTGAAGCCCAAGGGAGTGAATGCTAAGACGGGTGATGCAAAGTTGGAGCCCTTCAGGAGCAGTTCTGCAGCAGGTCTTGGGTGACAATCATGACCCCATCCCCGCATGAAATTGAAAAAATCCTTAAAAAAGACTGAAATAGAAAAGATCAGCTGTGTGCTTCCTCCCCTCCTCAGGTTCTCAGAGACGGAGGCTCATCCCAGCATTGTCCCTCGACACCTCCTCCCCTGTGAGAAAACCCACTGCAGGTACCGGGGTCCGCTGGGTGGACGGCCCCTTGCGCAGCACCCAGAGGGGCCTCGGGGAGCCTTTCGAGATTAAAGTCTATGAAATCGATGACGTGGAGCGCCTGCATCGGCGACGAGGGGGCACCAGCAAGGTGAGCCACTGCTCCCCATGGGGCGGCAGTGCCCAGCAGGCCCTGCCCTGAGGAAGGGGCCTGGGCCAGGGGGGCTTCCCTTCCGAGCGCCGCTGGTTGGGTGGATGGGTGGCAGTGGGCTCCTGTCCCGGCACACTGCTCACTGGACAGAGACTTTGGAGAGCTCCGTTTCCTTTCCTGGAACGCCTTAAGGGCTCACGTACTGGTACTGGAGGACCCCACCGTGGGGCCTTCTCTGGCTTCTTGTCTGGAAGTTTCTCCCCAGTACGGACCATCATCAGCACACTGCAGAACCCTCTCCGCTTAAATGGAAGAATCACCGCCATCGTCTCTCCTGTGGCCGGGTTGTCTGATCTTTGGAGGCAGAAACCGAGCCAAGAGCTCCTTTTCCTGATCATGCCGGAAAGTGCTCCTCTCTGCAAGAATTGAGCTCTCCTTTCTCCTCACCACCTCCGTCTCCCTCTCTGTCCCCGTGCAGGAGGTTGTGTGCTTCAACGCAAAGCTGAAGATTCTGGAACATCGGCAGCAGAGAATCGCCGAGGTCCGAGCCAAGTACGAGTGGCTGATGAAGGAGCTGGAGGCGACCAAACAGTACCTCATGCTGGACCCCAACAAATGGCTCCGTGAATGTAAGGCTCTGGCCCAGTGACACAGACCCGGGGCCTGACCTGGGTGACATTGCACAGACTGCATCTGAGGGCAGCAGGTGGAGAGGGTGACGCTTGGGAGCCACGCTGTTTTCCCCAGGAGGCAGGCGGGCCGGCTAGGAAAGGGGTGGCGGGTACTGCTCGTGCAAGATTATTTCTGATAGATTTCAGTCCAAAACCCTGAAAATGAGATTCTCCCCACCCTTCCCTGCATGTGTCAAAAGATGACCCAGACATGAGACTGATTACACATCTCCCAGGCCACAGAGTCACGCTGCTCATCTGACACAGGAAGCGAAAGGAACAGCCCTGATGTTATTTCCATTTAATAGGAAGCTCAGGGTGACAGTAACCATCTACTAACAATTCAGGACAATTTTGCTCTCTCTGAGAGGTGGATTCAATTGTCCCTTATTTATCTGTTCCTAACCATTCCATCTGCTACCAAATAAAACTTAAATCTGGTTCCAGCTATTAAACTGATATGGAAACCAAAGCTGGAAGATTTAGTCTATGCCATTCATTAGTGTCATTAAAAGTCCTCTCCCTCCGGTCTCAAGCAACCCGTCTTCCGGCCACTTGTGCCACTCTTATAATGCTCCTTCCTGGCATGGCCCCCTGTCCTTGTGTCTCCCCTCTGGGGAGGGCCCATAGGTGGAATCTGGAGCCTTAGATTTGTGTCCCAAAGTAGATGGCTTGAAATAAAACACTGGGTGAAATCTGGGCGTAGTGGTGCATGCCTGTAATCCCAGCAGAGGATGGCAACTTTGAGCCCAAATTTGCAATTTAGCAAGAACCTGTCTCAAAATAAAAAATAAAAGGCTGCAGAGGTAGCTTAGTGTGAATGCCCTGGGTTCAATTTTTTTAAAAGGTGGGGAGTGGGTAAAATGACAGTAGATGAAGAAGAAAGTGTCGGGATTTGTCAGGCTCCCATGATTCCCAGCCACTTTTAACAGTCTGTCTTCTAGCACTTCCTCTTCCACGGGAAAGAGGTAGTAACGTCTCCCTTACATGCTCTGAGTTATTTTGACTGTAGCCCTTCTGCAGGGCCTCTTACAAATCTGAGCTGCAGCACTGGTGGTTACACTCACGGTCCTATGGAGCTGTTTTAAGACCCTGGTTTTCCCGTCTGTAGTATGAACTATGTGACCTTAGGTCAGGGGCTTTAACCCCCACTGCATCTTGATGATCTTAACTATGAAATGGGAAAAATAACTGCCTATTTCACAGGGTGGTTATAAGGAGTAAGGAATTGCTACAGAACTGGTCAGGTGCTTACCATCCTGCTTGGCCCAAGGCGAGAGCCCAACACCTGGTGGTAATTATTATAATTACCCCCAGCTCAGCTAAGTAGGCGTTTCCTACAGGGGATACTTCCTTGGGGACCACGTGCCTGATCCATTGTCAGGTCCTCTGCTAGAGGTTTGGACAAAGCGAGAATTCTACCCCAAAGATTTCCATGCCCGGTGCTAACGGACTGGAACAAGGGACTTCAGATAATATCTGAAACCTGTCATGAACCCCTGGGCACTTCAAAATCCCAGGGCATCCCTCCAGGCAGCCCCTTCATTTTTACCATTTTCTTTACAATTTGACTTTATAAGAGCTGTTCATGCCGGGGCAGTGGTGGTGGTGGTGGGGGGTGCTGAGAATTATCTTCATCTTACAAAGTCATCTTTATTTCCCTGGGATGGGAACACGCTTGGGCATCAGAACACATGTGTTTTAGATGCTTCCAGGAAACAGTCACCTTCTTGCCTTTGTACACATCAAGAATCAGTGCTGTTTGATGCCGAGAAAGAGAATGTACAGAAGGCTACATGAAAGGGGAAATACAGATTGTTTCTTTAAGATGAATGGAAAACAAGAATGAATTAAAAAAAATAACCCAGGAGGCTGCACTCGATGTTCCCTATGGGAAGCAGGCAGGGCATTGGCACAGAAACTGGAATGCTGGGATCCATTTTTATTTTTATGCTTTAATTCTGCTGCCCCTTTCAAGTCAGTCCAGTTGTCCTGCCTGCTGTGCTTAGGGCATGGTGGGGTTTGGTTTTTCATTATTACACTGGTATTCGGAGAGCCCTGGCCTCCTTCAGCTCTGGTCCTTATTAACAGTGCAGCCTTGGAGCAGGCTCCTCGCTGTCTTGAGCTCATCCATAAGGAAGCCACTTCCATCAGTCTCAGGAGTTTCTGTAGCAAGTCACAGTTTCCAAGCCATGTTCATGTTCCTAATCCCTATTGGAGTCTTACCGGTAACTCAAGGCAGATAGGACAGCAGGATAGGAACTTTCCTACTCACTCACCTGTAAGGAAATGGTGCCAGCCCAGGTTGAGGACTCAGAGCTGCTGGGAGTCACATTCCAGTCTCCCGCCTTGGATCCCAAGGCCATCCTTGCCACCCTTGACTGCTCTCCATGCTGCCCTTCCCATGTGGGACCAGTGACTGGCAGTCCAGCCACCCTGAGACAAAGCAGGGGGCCTGGGGCTAGGAGCTGACCCTGGATATGTGTTCCTAGGCACTGGAGGATGCAGACTTCTCACCCTATGTAGGCCTAGTCATCGGGCAAGGCGTCCAGTCGGCAGTCTCAACTTTTCCTCCATGGGAAGGATCTTCATCCAGATCTTGTTTGTGGTCAGATTCCCTGAATGACCAAAGAGTATGTGAGACCACATCAGGAAATGCCAAGCGACTGGGTCAGGTTCCTTGTGCTGAGAGGCAGCTGTATATGGTGCTTGAAGGAATAAGGAGAGGGAGGTCCTTACCTAAGGAGGCAGACTATACCTGTCACTCTAGTGAGACCCCAGAAAGGGCAGCTTGAAGACCTACTTACTTCTTGGTTGAAGGAGGAGAACGGTATGATAATCCTGCACAGGTCCTGGGGTGATGGCAGGAGGTGGGGGTGGATAGGACGCCCCTTATTCCTCAGAATAGTCTCAACAAACGTTAAGGATCTAAAACCTGGTAACCGGGGTTCCCCTCCCCTGTCCCATAGGCGGAGGATCACGCGAGGAGGAGGGAACCCCGAGGTCCTAAGGCAGCGAAATCAGAGCTGGTGGGAGGGGGCGGGCAAAGGACCTGCCGGGGCTGGGCGAAGCAGGAGTGGTCCTGAGGCTCCTCCTCCTCTCTTGCAGTTGACTTGGAGCAGGTTTTGGAGCTGGATTCCCTAGAGTACCTGGAGGCGCTGGAGTGTGTGACGGAGCGCCTGGAGAGCCGTGTCAACTTCTGCAAGGCGCATCTCATGATGATCACCTGCTTCGACATCACCTCCAGGCGCCGATAAGGAGAGGCGGGTCTCCCACCCGCTGGTCCCCTCCCGGGGACCTCAGAAAGATGTCACCCTGACCCGGTCTGTGCTGACGGCACCCAAAGACGATAGAATGAGGATGAAGGTTGGTGGCAAGTCTGCAGTGAGCGGTGAGCGGTGAGCGGAAGGCGGTTTTTCCTTTGCATTCTGTAGGGAAGGTGCAAACACCGAACATGTGGAAGGAGAAAGTGATGGGAAGCCCAAGGGATGTCGAAGCCCTGTGAGACTGAAAAGCACTTTGAGGAACTTTGAAGAACTTGTTTGTACATAAGAACTGCTAGCAAAGAGACCTCGCTCTTGTCTTGCTTTGGTGAGAAAGGGGGAGGGTGGATACAGCATCCCTGCCAGTGGCAAAAACAAAACGAGGACAACGAGATGACCCTACATGACAGATTAAGTGCCTTGCAAATCTTTACGATTATCCAAACGTGTATGTTCATACTCACTGTGTACAGATGGTGCTAGTCAAGATGGAAATAACAAAACCAACAAAAAAGAAAATCCAACACATTTTTGCAATGTATTTACCGCTCCTTTTTTCTTGGTGTTTTGTCCTATTGCTGACTTGCTGTTTCTAAGCAAGTTGTGTTTGTAGAGATATTTCCTAATCAGTATTGCGTATGAATAAATGTTACCTGTCTTTTATGGTTATTCTGGTAAGGCCACTCAAACAGAACCCAGAGACTTCATCTGCATCAGCCAGCGTGTTTCCAGCGAAGGTTTGGAACAGCGGGTGACGCTCAGTGCCACCTCTGAAGGGCAGCAGGACAGCGAGCAGCCTGGATGCGGATGGTGAAGCAGGCGCACACGAGCTTTAGTGTCCAGGAGAGGAGGCAGTCTGCATCCTTAAGGGAAAGGTTGTCCTTTTTCAGCTGGGCCCCACCCTCTCCTTGGAGGTGGGCTGTTTGCTCCAGTCCTTTCCCCTCCCATCCGGGGTCTGATGGTTCTCAAAACACGTTTTTGTTCATTTCTATTCCAAAGACTCTGAACAGTAAGCCTGAACCAATTCAGCACAGCCATATGTCTTTGTTTTTGAGTTTTGTGCATTTATTGAAGTGGCATGGGGGCTCTTCATTTAGAGATTTCTTGGCTTGGACCTGCTCAGAGGCTCCAATGGTATTGGTTTAGAATGAGGAGGAGGCCTGGGACTGCACAGCTTTTCTGTTGTCCAGAGTCCTGCTTGAAAGCAAGAAGTTCAGTTCTCCCTGGCCCAAAGCCTGTGTGCTACCCAGGGACAAAGCTGGTTCCTCCGGCCATGGCTCTCAAAGGCAGAGGCTTGCCTCCCTAAATCTCACATCCCTGGGTGGGCAGAGCAGAAGTGAATGAATCGGATGTCCAGGTCTTGGGTCCTCATTCTCAAGTTACAGCAGTTCCCTCAGGAGAATTCCATCCTGTTAGGGATAGAAACCTGAGGCCAGAGAGGTCAACAGCATCAACTGATAACAGCAAACAGCTGCAGAGCATTGTGGGACAACCAGGAGTGCTCCTGTCCATGGGACAGGGCCCTCTGCTGGAGCCCGTGCAGCCTTCCGGTGACACACTGTTCCAGGGCTCGCACAGAGCACTGCTAACCTCTGCCCTCAGATGCACACACCTGCCAAGCCCATTCCAGGCTAGGCCTCTCCCAACCTGCTCCCCCAGGAAGAAGAATCTTTGCACATCTTGGTTGTACCTCTAGACACATGTAGCCCAACACAGCTGACCAAACAGCCAGCGGGGCTCAGCTAGACTCAGTCAGTGGGAACAGAAGGTTTGTGAGTGGCACAGTACTGGTCCTGCTGGCTTGCCTTGGAGGTCAGCCCCATGTGCTGGAAGCCAGCTCTATGGATCATAGTCTGGCTTTTCACAGTCTATAAAGTTCTGCTCCTACACTAAGGTGGCTATGTAAGAGATGCTCAAATTGCTCTCATGTGAACTAAAATATGGTCAAAAGCTACTCTGGAATGGATCATGTCCCCCACTCCCCATACTGCAAGTTTAACAAGTATGTTGTCTTGGGCAACTCCCCTCAACCCTGAGGAGCAGTCCTGTGACTCTGAGCCACCTCTGGCCTTCTAGTATGTGCATGAAGGGGTTTGCTTAACAGCAATATTCTGGAAATGCCAACCCTTCAAATTTGAGTATACCGTTTGGCCTCCCTTTTGGAGGGTTTGGACTAAACTACTTGATTAAAAGCCTTATTTGGGGGAATTTCAAAGGTGAGTATGCCTTGTTTTTTGTTGGAAATAAATTCACTTGATTAGTATATTACCTGTGAGCTTGGCCTTTGCCCCTGCCACCTTCTCCCTCAGCCCTGAGGTCATCATGCTGCAGTGACTTCCTTAGCAGGCCACTGGAGTGAGACCAAGTGGATACATCTACAGAAATCAGAAACCTCAGACAGTGAAAGCTCTCCTGGGGCAGTGGCTGTCAGCTTGCTTCCTGCCTACATCTGCTTGAATACATTTGTGGCAACTTTATGATACAACAAAAGTTTGAATGACATGAAGAATTGCCTAAGTCAGATTGGCTTCCCAAGAGGCCAACCACAGAAGGTCCCGCAGAATCCTGCAGGCCTTGGTGTGCAGTTGTGTATGGGTGTTGTCACACTTTCCCTTTTCTTTCTTTTCCTTTTTTTTTTTCAAACCTAAGTTATCTGCAAACATCTTAATTTAACAAATATTGATAAACCATGCATGTGAAGAAACCAAGCATTTTATGACATTATGCACTTGTTCCTGGCACTGTCAAGGGACTATACAAACGATGGTCTTTAAACACAAAGACACAGGTGCAGCCAGCTATTCTGAAGCTGCCCCAGGAAGTGAAGAATGCCTCCTCATGTCCAGATGTGTGAAGGCTCCAGGTCTCCTGTTGGTTTTGGTGACAGATAACCCACAAAGGCAAAGGGAACTTCCAAGAACTCATTTCTAGTCCATTATCCGCAAATGAAAAGACCATTAAGGTATTTCTTTGAAACTAACATTCAGATGAGTGGGCCTTACTTAATTCCTTGTCTGAAACCTGCCCCCTGCCCCTGCCCCTGCCCCTGCTCCAGCTAGTTAGTATGAGGCAGAAGCTTTGGCAGCACAGCAAAACTAAGATCCAGGAAAGGGGAATGAGAGACTGTTTCCCCAGGAGTAACCCATACTACATTTCATAATGGTGTCTCATGCTGCGAGGGGGCGATAGTTTGCTTTATCCCAGGCTTTCAATCCACGCTTGAGAGCCGGAACCTTTGATCTCCTTGTCCTTGAATTCCCCTGGAAATCAGGGAAGCTGTCTCTCACTTTCATCTCTTCCTACTTGAAATCAGCGACCCTGCCTGTTGTTTTATCTCCAATTGCTACTCTGAACATAGAGACCATGAGATCCAAGTGCAGAGGTGGATTCCGTGGTGATGGAGGTAGGACTCAAACAAGGACCCTGGGCAGGAAAGTGTCCCTGACAGTAGATACAGGGACTTAAAAAGAAAACAAAAAAAAGCAAAAAGCAAAACCATACAGCCCAGTGCAGGGAATTTGGTGGCAGGAATTTGGCTGAGTGTGTCATACATTAGCCTGCAGCTTGGAGTCTGCTGTGCAGTAGGGTGGCAGTGACTTGATGGAAGCCACATCTGCTGTCCAGAGTGGTGATTCAAAAAATCCTGTGCTTGCTGCAAGGATTTCCGTTCAGTGTTATAGAAGGAAAGCACCCGTGCCCACTTGGGTGTGTATCTCATGTCCTTATAAAGCAGCCACATTTGGGGGCTTCAAATACTAATACACACATCATTCTGGTGAATCTACACACCTTCGTCACAGGCATTTCTATTCACAGCCCTCTGTCCTTGACTCGGGCCAGAAGGCCAGGCTGGCAGAAGCCCACAGTCCATTGAGCGCACACACTGTTGCCAGTGCTGTTGGCCAGTGTTGATTCGTCATCGAACCTTCCAAAATAATGATGCATTGAATGTTTTTAGGTTCTTTGTTCCATTAGGGATATTAGGGTACAAAATTTTTTCAGATGAGTTTTTTTCAAAATTGGAAACAGAGGATTCCATGAATTTAGTCATTCTTTCCTGTCCGAAAATTATTAGCCCATTGTGGGTATGTGCAAAAGTATTTACTCACTTTTGAAGGCAGTATCTCTAAACCCTGAAACCAGGCCAGTCAAAAACACGTCGGAAGTCCTGAGGTTACTGGTGGGTACTGATGAAACCATCCACTGCTGTTGTCCCTGGGGCCTCTCTGCCGCCACCTGGGCTGTGTAACCCAGCTTTGCACGTGTGAGGGACATCGGTGCAGGGACAAAAGCCCAGTGGAACCCACTGTTCTCCATGCCAAGTGAGACGAAGCTGGGCACTCAGTTTCACTGATGCTGCCAGGAAATGGGTCTAAAATATTTTTTTGCCAGGTGGTAGAAATATACTATTCCTCTGGATTATAGTATCTCTTTCGCCTCCTCTGGAAGGTATCTGTCACCATGTGTGGGTAAAAATTCATAAAGCATCACTTTTCAGTCTTCCTGACAAAGTAATATGCTTCTCAGTTACAAATTGTTCATTATTTCCACAATAATAAAAGCAGAATTCCAACCCAGGTCAAGCTATTAAACTGTAAGCTTATAGCTTCAGAAAAAGTTTGAACATTCCTATGAGCTAATTTAGTCATCCCTAAACAAACACATTGTGCTTTTGAGTGGCCTTCCTCGGAACTGGATCTGAAGCTGTGTCAAGACTTCACTGCATCTAATTAACAGTCCACCAGGCAGCCAGTCCCAGTGTCCACGTGTGTAGAGGGCCAGTCGGTACCGGGCGCAGACAGGATTTTACGAGCCCCATCCCTTTGTTTCCCACATTATTCTGTTCAGTTTATAAAGCTATCATTTATTTGCAAACCACGATGTTGCTTTATTGATCACACTGCCTGTGTTTTACAGCAGTGGTGGTTCACTAACCACAGTGCACTGTTTGTATCATTGAAAGCTCTAAAAGGTTCACCAGCACTGTTTTCGAGTTTATTTACACTTCATGGCTGATGGTTGGAAATGTTCTCCACATGCTATGCATTTAAGTGTGAGCTTGGTAGATCTGTCCGTGGCTATGTTTCTTCTGTTTTTGTCACTCTATCAAAGTCTGTTAGCACAGACATAGGCTAAGGGGAGGGGAGAATAAATAAATCAGGAGAACAGGGATTAGGGTCCAATTCTCAAAGTACAAAGCTTAGTGCAAAATCTCAGCTGTTTCTATAGTAAGTAGCCAAAGGGGAAAAGATCTTTCCCTTTGAATTTGATGATAATGAGCTTGGAAATCAGCCTCCACAGGCCTGGGTGGAAGAGGATCCAGCCTCTTCCTACTGGTTCAACACTAAATTCTTGAGAAAAGTGCTACAGCATTACTACATTCCTACATTTCTGCAAGATCTGACACCACTCCATGCTACTGAAGGGGGCTGGGCAGGTGGCTGGAGGTCCTTACCTTGGATATATAGCATAACTGGGTTTTTTTCTGGAGAAACCAAAGCACTTTAGTGAGTCTTACAGCCAGTAAAACTGTAGTACTTAGGGCATCCTGTCCCCTCAGCAGATCTCTGACAGGCAGAGAGGGCTTGGGGCCAGGAGATTCATTTGAGAGATGGCTAAGACTGAGAGGAAAACCCTTGGGCTAGGAGTGGGGAACCCAGGTGCTAAACCTGGCTCCTGCTCCATCATTAGCTGTGCAACCTTGGACAAGTGGCTTCATTTTGCTGGGCCTCAGGCTCCATGGGGGAAGGTTGGAGCCATAAAGCTGCCTTTCTGGGATAGTGTCAAGAGAAAAAGATGGTGGAACCGACATGCTTCAAAAAATGAAAGCCCTCTACAGGAGCTGGGAGAGCCATCTATAGATGAAGAAACTAACATCAACAGTCATCGATTGGCCCAAATTCATGGGGCAGTTTTATAGCAGAACTGGGCTTGAGTCCAGCATACCGGGCTCTTCTCATTAGTAAGATGGCATTGTACCACGTGTATGTGTACATGAGCGCACACATCACTCCTCTGTACCAATGTGTGTGTACATATGGGATGTGTGTGTACAGAAGGTGCATGACACGGAAGAACATGGGACAGAAAACCTGAGTTCTAATTCCAGTTTCTACACTAGACCTGTGTAGGGCCTGGGATAAATTACCAGCTTCTCTGAACTCAGTTTTCTAATCTGTAAAATGAGGACATTGTGCTAAAGGACTTTTGCGGTCCCTTCCAGCTCTGGCTCTGTGGTTTCATGATTAGTAATGTATGTATGTATATATAAATATGCTCATCTGTAGAAATGGGCCCATGTGAAAACTGGAGACAAAGCCTGCCCAAGTGCATTTATTGTGTTGGAAACAGTGAATTCACAAACAAGTTCATAAAATCTTGTGTTGTTTTCTTTAAAAACTCAATGGTAGTATTGATATCATTGTTTTAAGTTCACTGTTTAACTGGAGAGAAGATTGGTGCTGTTTTTAAAATTAAATTCTTAGCTTACAAGTGTTTGCTGTTAAATTAAAAAAAAATGAAGTACATTTGTCATGGTCAGAAATTCAACTATTCCATTCTTGGGCAGATTCCAGCAGCCTATCTGCAGGCTGGCTTTTGTGTATGGGCCTTTACATAGCTATGTAAAAGTAAGCTGTTGGCTTGATCATGATAAATATGAGCAGGCTACCTGGAGAAAAGTCTAGAAAAGAGAGTTATATAGTTCTCACAAACCGGTGACATGAATTCATTAAGCTGTGTCCCATTTCCCATGTGAAGACATTGTTTGCTGGCTACGATCTCTGACTTTGTGACATATGAGGTGTAAAATGTTGTCAAAAAACAAAAAAAGAATCTGGTGTTTTAAAGAATCAAACTATGGTGGCATTAAATGTTCACTTTTATTCTACCTGGAATTATGAATTCCTCTTTATCCTGTTTGTCCTTCTGTACATAGGGGGAAGTAATTCCAGGCCTAGGGTGGGGGTCCTGTCATTCTATTGACACCTTGTCCTGAGTCTACCCCCAGGCCCATCAGGACATCCTGGCATGAGGCCTGTCTGATCCCCCTGTGGCACTGGCCTCCAATAAGTCCAGAAAGCTCAGCCTGGGATGGGTGGAGGTGGGGCTGAGTCACAGAGCCCCTGCAGTTCTCCTACACTTCCAAGAGTCCATACTGGCTGGTGCCCACATGTGAAAAGCTTGGTGTCAGTATTCTGGTGACCTAAAGATTCTCCCTCAGTCCAACATCTTGCACAATCATTGCAAATGGCTTGGGTCTGGACATACGGGCTTTTTGGTACATGAGAGATTGTCTCAGTTGTAACTGGGCACATTCCAGAAAGATTAGGCTGGGACAAACGCCTCATAGGGTAGCACCTGTACCCTGGGACATCTGGCCCCTTCTGCAGCAGACATTTCCCCTGACAGCAGAGCGGCGTCTTGCTAGCTGTTGTCACCACATCCATCCAGTCGGCTGAGTGCACCACAGTCCCACGGGACAGGGCTGGGTGGCCACTGGAAGCAGACAGGCTCTTGCTCCCTGGCAGGCCCCCTCTGGACTTGCCTCCTGCCCCACCGAGCCGGCTTGGCATGTGCACCTCCCAGCTTCCTGCTATTCTCCCCAAATCTTTGATAAGATCTTCATGGGCTCCCTTTGGGTCACCCGAGCAGAATCTAGCATTAAGGAAGCCACAGGGCTTTCTAGAAATAATACCTTCAACCAGAAGAGTGAGTGGAAGTGCTGCCTGGGCTTCGTGGCCTTGGGGGAAGAGAGAACACAGGGTAGCATCCAGAATCGTTTCCTGTCCCTTCTTGTCTCCATCTTTAGTTCTCAGCTCTAGCAGGGCTATGATACCACCTTGTCCTAGGTTCACACCAGGATCAGTGCCCTTGGAGGGGCTGGCGGGACGGTATGTGTGGTCATCAGTAGCAACTTCTTTCCGGGACAATAACTCCGAGCCACACAATCTCAGGCCTGTCTCTCCAAGTTGCTAAGAATTTTCTTCCTTTCATCCCCTTTGATCCCATTCTTTGGTCTCAGGGAGGACATTAAGCAGTCTTTCCATGGCCATTCTGTCTACTCTGGCACCACAGTGCCCTCAGCCAGACGCCCAGGCCTGGGAGGTCATAAAAACAAAGCAAGGTGCCACCTCCTTCCAGCAGTAGCAGCTAAGGCTATTCCTGCACGTGGTGGGAGCCTCCGCCTCCACTCTTACAGCAGGGCCTGTCCTTCCACTCGCTCTCTTATCAGCAGGAGTTGTTCCTGGGAGAACCTAGAAAATGTGCACAGCACTTTGAGTGTAGACACAGGGACCCGTCAGTGGTCGGTGTGTGCCTGGTGCCAAGACGGTGTCTCCTGTCCCATACCCCGGCTTCTAGAGCCAAACCTGGAAGCCAGTGGCTGCTACTGACATCAGCTATGAATCAGTCATCAATATGGCAGAGAAGCTGCAGAAAAATCCAGGCAGCAGTCTGCCGAAACCTCAGCCTCCCCTGACAAAATGACCGAAGTCTGCATTTGTGACTCTCCAGCTGGGACGAAGTCCCGTTCACAGGGAAGGAGGAGCACTGGCCCCACACAGGCCCAAACCCTTGGCTTAGGGTCTGCATAGGCTTGAACTCCTGGCCACTGTTAATCACGTGACTGCAGGAGATGACAGGCACAGTGTTCGTGCATTTGGATTCCTGCTCGATATTCCTAAAGCTGTCACTGAAGGAGCCTTTGCTGAACACCTCGTGCTCTGTCCCCGACACTTCTGGTCACTGGTGAATCTGGACACTTTTGCTCATGGGCTCTGCCTGGCTGCACACAGAAACCCACTGCAAACCAGCAAAGCCAGGGCTCCCCTCGACAGGGCCCAGGGTTGCCAGCCGCCCCAACATGGGCTTCCACCCTTCAGTTTGGGTCCTTGGCAAGACCTGACCTCCAGAAGAGACTTCTAAGGCACACAGCTGAGATAAGGAGGAGAGGGAAGGAAGGGGGAGAGCGAGTGGAGGTCACCTGCTCGGGGAGGCGACCAGAGGCCTCCGTGCTGCCCCCCAGCGGAAGCTGCGAGGAGTGTAAGCAGTGTGTTGTCCGTTTTGTCTTTCGGTTTTAAATTATTAAATTGCCCTTGCTCATTTCATCCTCTGTGCTCTTTCCATCCCCAGTGGTCCCAAGCTCCACGTGTGTAAATGGCACACCTGGCATGTGCTCAGAAGACAACGCAACACAAGGCTTTATGCAGGGTCCCATGAGGCCCTAAGGTTCCTGAAGACCCAGGGACCCTTTTATTCTTAAATTGGACTTTGAAAAGCTAGAAAGAGAAATGAAAACTACCTTTAATGTTGCTCCAGAGAAACACACACATACACACACACACTTTTACAAATTTTGGATCATTGCCTTTTGGAATCTTTCCCCCTTAGTAATCCTTCCACACTCACTAGTTCTCCTGCCAGTACATAGCTCAGACACCGGGACTAGAATGGCCATGGGATACAGCGTCCTGGCCAGAGAATATCATGTCCACCCAGCCGATCCCTTCCATGGACCTTAAGATGGCTTCTGCTTTTTCACCATTATCAATTACACCACAATAAACATGTGAACGGAAATCCCTTTTTTCACTTCTCTGACACGTCCCCAGGGATAAACTCCTAGAAGTAAAACAGCTGTAACAGAAGGAATAAAACATTATGGGGCATTTTTATAGGGCATTTTACACACATTGAGCGACCATGCTTCAAACTGTCGAACCTGAATGTTACTAGATAGCCCGAGACATAGTTGTCTCTTCCTCTCTAAACTTCTGTTTCATTGATTCACTCATTTATTTCATTCTACACATGTGGAATGGGGTTCTTGGGGTTCTGAGGGTTCTAACACTAAGGGGGTTCTTGCTTGGGACAGGGCTCTTCCAATTACACATTACACCAAGATCCCAGTGCATGATCCTTTGTATTTCACACAGGGCCTGTGTATCTATCCACAAATATTCAGCTTGTGGAAAGAAAAAGCTGTATGGCCCTTACAAAATTGGATTAAGATGCAGAGGCTTTAGGCAAAGCTATCAAAGGAAGGGGGTATTTTTGAGAGGGGTTCTGGGGGCTCAAGCCAGAGTCTTCACACATCTACATCCCCAGGCACCCCTTTCATTTACATTTTGAGACTGGGTTTCACTAAGTCACTAATTTGCCCAGCCTGGGCTCAAACTTGTCACCTCCTGCCTTAGCCTCCCAGAGTGTTGGAATTACAGATGTACCCACCGCGCCCTGCTGCAAGGAGGATTTCATACACAGAGTAAGTATGCATTTTCTTGGAACTGCCCTGGGGATTCTGAGCACATCTCCACTCTCTGAGAACTCGTGGCTCAGGAGTCCTGAAGCCGGGGTCCGTGGTGGTGACTGAAAGAGTCAGTGAGCATCTCTGGACTCCAGGCCCTCACCTGTGTAGGAAAAGCAAAGCCGCTCCTCCCTGCTCGACTTCCCCGGCTATATCTGATGATGCATGAAGGTACAGCATGACCTAGCAAGCCTTCAGAAGATGCCAGGGAGCAGTGTGTTAGCCTCTTGCTGCTGCTACAACAGCACACAACTGTAATTTCTGAACTAGAGAATGTATTTGACCCAAAGCTCTGGAGCTGGAAGTCCAAGGGTGTGGTGCAGGCATCTGGGACAGGAGGTCATCTCCTCGTGGAAGACAGAAAGGCAACTGAGGACCTGCAAGGCTGAGAGGACCAGCACGAGCAAGAGAGCAGACAGTGCCTTGATGATTATCAGTGCATGATGACCACCCTGCCTCTGCTATGGGGCCCAGCTCTCAAATCTGCCACAGTGGTAATTAACTCTCTCACCAATTGCCTTTGGAGTGGGCACTCAAAGCACAGCAGGTAGAGTAGCCTTTGCTTCACCCTGGCTGTCTGATGCCTGATGACCTGGGATGAAGGAGCCATTCAGCACTTGCACCATTCTTTTGTAAATATCAGTGGCCTCCATCTATGAGAATTGGTGGAGCCACACATCCCACTCTCCCTAAACCTTGCTCCCGGTGAGCAGGTTAATGGAAAAGGGTCTCGGGTAGATTCTGTGACACATCTACATCCGTGAGCACACAGGCTGCTCCGAGTGCTGAGGGGAGACCTGCAGTGTGTCCTTGGGCACGTGGAGAGGCACCTACCCAGGAGCCTGCTGTGATGGCAGAAGGAGCCGTCCCTCCCCAGCAACTGGAGGATGTGCCTGGCCCAGCACAGCAGTGGGCCTGGAACCCAGCTCCAGGGGTCACAGTCCTGCATTGGTGGCTTCTTACATCTGCCTCTTGCAAGGGTCCCAGCACCTGTCAGGATTTTCAGGTCAACCACGTTTTGAACTCCTCTGTTTCACCAAGAAGAACTATTTTAAATGCCTTATGTACTGATTCATGGTAAGAGTTAGATAAATTGGCTTGCTGTCGCTGTAACAAGCAGCTGGGATAACTGGTTTATAAGAAAGAAAAGATCTGTTTGGGCTCACAGTCTTGGTACTTCCAGATCTGTGGCTTCCGGGCCTCTGGTAAGGTGGCACATGATGGCAGGAGCATGTGGTGGAGCAGAGCTGCTCAACTCATGGCCAAGAAGTGAATACAAGAGGAAGAGACTGGGATGCCACTGCCCACCATCCCTTCTGAGGGCACGCTCCTAATGACTGGAAGCCCTTCCCCTATGCCCTGGCTCTCAGAGCTCCTGCACCTCCTAACAGTGTGCTGGAAACCGAGCACTCACTCTCTTTCTCATCACTGGGACAAAATTCTGACACCCACAACTTCTAGGAAGAGACATTTGTTTCAGCTCATGTTTTCAGTCCACGGTCATCTGGCTCCAAGGCAGAAATGGTATGGCGGAAGGGCCTGGGCAGAGGAAAGCTATTTATATCATGGAGGCCAGGAAGCAG